CGGGCAGGTCATGCCTGACCAACCTCATTTCCTTCTATGATCAGGCCACCTGGATAAGGGAAATGAGACTGATGTCATAAACTTAGATTTCAAAAAGGCTTTGACTTGGTCTCCCACAGCGTCCTTATGGAAAAAATTGGGGAACTGCAGCTTGGACAACTTAACAGTCAGGCGGCTAGGAAACTGGCTCCGAGGCAGGACCCAGAGAGTATTAATACATGGAACTGAGTCGACATGGTGCAGGGTGACCAGTGGTTTCCCTCAAGGTTCAGTACTTGGACCAGTGCTTTTCAACATATGCATTTGGATTTTGGGTGTTAAATGCGTACTGGCAAAGTTCACGGACAACACCAAATTATGGGGGAGTGCAGTCACACTGGAGGATAGGCTGGGGATATAGGCTGACCTGGACGGGCTCACAGGATAGGAGGATCAAAACCTGATGACATTTAACACTGAGAAATGTAAAGTGCTCCATTTGGGGAGAAATAATCTGTAACACACTTACAGGCTCGGCAGTGCTACACTTGTTAGCACCACAACTGAAAGAGACCTGGGGGTCATGATAGACCATAGAATGAACATGAGCCATCAATGAGATGCTGTAGCTGGCAAAGCAAATAAGACACTGGCATGCATCTATCAGTGCATCTCAAGCAAGGCTAAGGTTGTCATCCTCTCACTCTACTTGGCTTTGGAGAGGCCGCAGCCAGAGTACAGCGTACAGTTCTGGACGCTGAACTTCAGGAAGGATGTAGAGAAGCTTGAGAGTCTAAAGGAGAGCTAGACATATGATTAGAGGTCTGAAGAGCAGGCCATTTGAGGAGAAGCTGAGAGACATGGGACTGTTCAGCCTGGAGAAGAGAAGACTTAGAGGGGACTTGATGGAAGCCTATAAGTATATAAAGGGTGTATGTCAGGGTCTGGGAGAGCATCTGTTTACCAAGGCACCCCAGAGGAAGACCAGGAATAACGATCATAAATTGCTAGAGGATCGCTTTAGATTGGGCATAAGGAAAAACTTCTTTACAGTTGGAGTGTCCAGGGTCTGGACCAGACTTCCCTTAGAGGTGGTACAAGCACTTACTCTGGAAATCTTCAAAAAAAATCTGGACGCTCACCTTGCTGGGGTCATCTGACACCAGTAGTCTTGCTTGCCCAAGTGCAGGGAGGCTGGAGCTGATGATCTCATGAAGTCCCTTCCAGGCCCGAACATCTATGAATCTGTGAATCAGATCATCAGTGTTTGTAGTGTAGTTTGCTTGATTTCACAACAAACTGACAGTGCATGTGTTGAGAGCTCCTTTAGGAAGATTAATTTTTGCTGGTTTGTGTGGCACCTGTGGCTTGTTAACTTCATCCTGGATATAAAGTTGAAGTATAAATGGTTCTTTGGCCAAGGGATGAAGTTGCTATGGGGAAATGCTATGGGCACCTAAGTTTGGGGAGAAAGCTGAGGTCCAGTTTCTGCTTTTACAGCTGTTAGTAGTAGAGATACCAATAAAACAAAAAGGGTGTAAGTTTCAATTATATTCAGTGGATATATCCTGACCTTCATCAACATCCACTGCTAAACTGGTGAGATTTGCACATTCTGGGAATGGGGAATCAGCTTGGCTTTGTGGTTGGTGATTTCTTAGTATAGGGGAAATTCCCTAGAGATAGGCAACCAGCATAGTCAGTTATCTATACATCCTGGACTCGGAGTACGGGCTATACCAGAAGAGGGGATCACAAGAAAGAGGTATGACTAGAGAGCTGCTATGCTGTGGTCCCAGCAAGTGTAATGCCCCTGCAGGGCTGTTGCCAGCCCAGGGAAGTTAAAGACGCCAAATTTGATGTATACCTGGGTCTGGGATGGGAATAAAAGTAGAGTGGAGCTAAGATGCAGCGGACGATCCAGGCTTCTGGGTATTGATAGTCCTCCCCACACTCTGGGCACCCTACCTGTTTAGTTTTCTTCCTTTGAGATTAGAGTACAGTGTTGGTTTCCAGGCAGACACGCATCAGTTTCTGCCCTGGGTAACAGACACAGAAGATATTTACTCTGTTTGGCTGGAGCCACTCAAGTCGATCAATATCCATTTTATATACACAGAGGCACCTTAAAAGAATTTCAGGGGTTCCCCATGTATCTGGACTGTTCTGGTTAACCCCCTGCCACTGCAAATAATCTTTCACCTCAGGATTAACTGTGATGGCAACCTGCCTATCCACTTGCTGCAGGCACTGTGCCTAATCATGGGGAAGAAAATCAAGGTCCCCTTCCTCACTGCAAAATTTGAAGCAGATTGTTTTTTACTGGGAGGATCAGTCTTTTGTTCAGTGACAGCTTTTGACTATCTACAATAAATAAAATAAACACCTCCCTGCAGCTGCTAGACCTGAACATTAGGACCTGTTTATGGCAACCGTAACATTGCATGCTATTACTGAACAACGTGAAATTTGCAGAAGACAGGATGAACCCGGGGTTATGTTCCTAGCTGTAGCTCACCTGGCACTATGCCTTTTTCCTGGAAGTTCTCTCTTGTGACCAAACCCAAGGTGTGATCATCACACCCTCTTCCTGGCTCCCCCCCCACTTCATGCATTCTCCTAGTTTCTGAGCAAGTGAAGCTTTCTATAAGGTGACTTGGGGAAGGTAATTCTATAAGCGGTTTAGAGGACAGTTCAAGGAGGCACTTTGAAACAGCCCTGAACAGCTCTCGCACTGACCGACCGCCTGCTAGCGCGGAGGGTCAGGTCTGCTGCCAGACTTACCAAGGGATGATTATCTGCTTGCTGGGAGAAAAGTGGCCCCGCAGGAGTTGGTGGGGTAAGGCTCAGAAAGTGCCATGGTGTTCCTGGCAGGGAAGGCTGTTTGATAGCTTTTCTTAGATCAACTACATAGTTGGAAAAAATGTTCTTTGCAAGGTTTCAGGTACGTCAGGAGCGAACTGCAGGCCAGCTGCCGGGA